CTCTACTGATTATAAAGAATTTAGGAGAGGAAGGGACCACGTATCTCCTGGCCTCTTAGTGTCTCTTTGTTACAATTTATGCAGATCTAATAATTTGCATATTATTTCCTTCTAGCCTCATCTCTACTCCTGATATTTTCCCTTTTCAGGAGTCTGCTAATCACTCTTGGAAGTCTCTCTCTCTGTCTCTGCCTTGCTCTATAAAATACCTTTATATAAATTTTTCCTTGGTGTGTTTTATTTTGGGTTTGAATATAGCCATGTCTTCTAAAGCCCTGGCTGCCTGATCTGGTCATCTTCCTTCCCAGGACAGAAATACCAGAATCAACCTTTGTTGTCCAAGAGTGTGAATATAATCCAATATTTGGAGGCACCGGTATTTTGAGTGTATGTTTCACTGTTCCTGTACCTCATTTTATAAATTCTTTCTCTTCTTCCTCATGAATTTTGATTAATAGTGAGTGGTTCTGCCACTAATATCCTTCTCATCATGGCATGGAGATAACCCTGGGTCCATGATGCCTTTGCCAGTAGAGTGTGTACCTTCTGGCAGGTCTTGCTAAGTTGGAAAGCCTTTGTATACAGACCTGGTGATGAACTGTATGTCTGTCTTCTGAAGGCCAGACTAGCCAAGTTCAAAAATGTTCATTTCCAGAAGGCTGGCTAGCAAATGATAAGTTTTTCCAGCAACTCACAAAAACTCTCTATGAAAGTATAGCGTTAATGATCTGCATTGGTAGAAGTGGGGTTAACACTGATTAAATTATGGATCTTTAAGTATTGAAGTAATAAATAATTACTGGGAGTATATGATGTGGAAGGAGTTTATTTCTACATTGATAACCTTTGAATCAATCAGTCAACAGGTATTTATTAAACTTCTACCATGTGCCAGACATTGTGCTGGGTACTGTGGAAACAAGCACAAAGATTGAAACAATCCCTAATCACCTTGAGTTAAAGGGGAATCTAAAGGGGAATTCTAATTTATTAAGCCAAGTGCATTTTCTTGAAAGAGGGTTGATGGTGAAGCCAGTTTGGTCTCCCTAGAATTATGAGAAGGAAGCTCCCCTAACAAAAGGAAATAAAAATATTGTGAATGGGCCTGTTGTGCAGATAACAGACACTGTTTTTCTCTGCTTTCCTTCTTAAAGTAAGGCTAAATTGGGCCTGGATGAGTTACCTGTATGGCTATGAGTGAATTGTCAAAAACTTACTCCAATTATTATATGGTACTTCTCTGGAATTCTTTATCATAAGCCTGTGTTGGATATGTTCCCTTTCTCTCCTTTCAGCTTCCTTTTGCATCTTCACTCATTAGATTGTAAGCTCCTCGAGGGCAAGAACTTCCTTTTTTGTATTTGTATTCACAGCTCTTAGCACAATACCTGGCACATAGTATTAATAAATATTTATTCACTGATTACTTGGGACAGTAACATCATTAAGAGAGCATTGGGGAGATAAATTTAAACCTACTCAATTTGGTGAGGTTTATTTGTTCTTTTGTTCATTCCTCGAAGATCAATAATAACCTAGTTTTATCTGGATCTCTCAACTTATGTACTTTATTGCTTTTTAAAAAATTTTTTTCTCTTTTTTTGTTGTAGTTTATGTACTTTAGAAACACTTTTTTTTTTCAAACCTAGTGCAGAAACTTCATTTCATCCTTAATTGTTGATTTTTTCAGGCTTGTCCATATGTGTCCTATTGGCCTAAATATTGGTTTTCTACAGTGTGCCACATTTGATGTCCCCCTGAAAAGCCTCTAAAAGCTTGTATAAGTGCAGAATGAAGCAACTTACTTGTTAAGGGGCCTCTGCCAAAAGAAGCATTCGCTGGGTCTTTGTAGTCTGCATTGATTACCAAGCTGTCTCCCAATGTATCTTTCGGTGTTGAGTCTAATCCATAAAACTTGCGTAGTTTGGGCACTGCTTAACTCAGTGAATCTTGCCAATGGTTGAGATTGATAAAAGTGATTTTGCTGCCTGTTTGAAATTTGGAAGGCTAAGAACCAACCATTATCAGTCAATTGACAAACATTTATTAAGCACCTACTGTGTGCCAGGTATCATAATAGGTGTAGATGATACAAAAACACAATCAAAATAATTCTTGCCCTCAGAGAGTTTACATCATTCCAGGGAAAACACATATACATTTACAAAAGAGATACATGGCAGTATTTTTGAACAGGAATATACTAAGTTGGGGGCAATCAGGAAAGGCCTTATGTAGAAGGTGGTGCTTCAGCTGAATTTGAAGAAATCTAAGTATTCTAGGAGATAGAGGAAAGGAAGGAACACTTTCCAGAAATTGAGGACAGCCAGTGTGGAAGAATGGCAATGAAAGATGTAATGTCATGTTTAAGAAACACTATGAAGAATTTTATCAGTCATCCTAAATCTTCTAATGTAAATGATACAGGGAAATTATTGAAGAATGTACTGCATTCACCAGTGCTTCAAATTAGGTTCCAATGCCAAAAATGTCTTGTCCATAATTTTACCCTAACCTTTCCAGAGCACTTCACTTCTCAGATGTCTAGCATTATAGCTACATAACAACTCAAGGCACTCTACTCAGCTACTTTGAGGCAGAGTTAGTGGTTTTCTCATGAAGAAGCCATTAGAGGAACTGTATGCATATGAAAGAACAACTGGCCCCACTTCCAGGCCCCATCCCTGGGCCAAAATATGTAGTCGCCAACAGCGAGTTGGCTACTGTGTTTTTTGAGTTCTGGCTCATAATAAGATCCATCTGTTTTGCTCAGTCGTTTGCCCAAGTGCTATAGTAATAGTCCTGTTATTACATTCTTATTGTGGTCCTATTTGAGGAGGTCAAATGTAAACAGACTCGGGTCCTTATTTTATTAGGTACTATGTCTACCTGGTGATGATCTGCTTCCCCAACCGCTCTCAGTTTTCCTTACGTTGGACAGTAGACATTTAGAATGAGGCTATAGTTGTGACCAAGTCCCCTTTCCCTGGGTGATAAGAGTGTGATTTTGGAGTTGTTTCTCTAAGTAAAAAGAGTAAATGTGAAGAAAAAGACTAGAGATAAATGAGAAAGAAGAAAATAATGAAATGGAAGAAGAGAAAGAGAAAGCTCATCAAGGAAAAGGAGGAGAAGGTGGGAAGCTATATCTACTATTCACAGAAGTAGTTTTATAATTTCAACTGAGTCAGCAGAACAATTCAGTAAGACCCTTGGTCAGTATATTAAAAAAAATTTCAGACAAATTGATTGATAGACTAAACCCACTTGTCCCTAGTCAAACCAGTCGTGCGTATAACTATAGCCCAAATCCTTATCCTTTCTTCTTCCTCTGCCCTATTTGGTGGGTCATATTCATTCACCATATTTAATTGGTGAGCAGAACAGTGCCAGCTGGTGATGCAAATTTATCTAGAGGTAGATAATTTTTATGCTTCTGAATCATTTATCAGGGGATTATTGTTATACCATATATTTTCTGAGCTTGAGTTATTTTTGTCAGTTTCTTTTATGAATGTTTGGTTGCCTTATAAGGAAATATGTGCACTCCCCTTCTCTCATTCAGTTGTCCCTGGTGACGCCTCTATAATTTCTGTCTTCTATACAGTGGTACATTTTTAGTTTAATTCAGGCATATGAGAAGCAGGGGGGAAAGTTGAGTTAAAGTCACTGTCAATAATTTAAATGCCCTCACACAGAAAAACACACACATACACACACACACACACACACACACACACACACACACACACACACACCCCAGAAATTTAAACCCCCATTTGTAGGGTTTGCTGTATGATTGGGGAAGGTTATAAGTTTGTTGTATGCATATAAATTATATTTAAGTATATACCACAGATAATATAATATAGAAAATGAATTCACAGTAAACATATACTTTAAAATATATTTGAAGGGAAAAAAGAAAAAAATCCATAACAAGCATGTTCTTTAATTTATTTAATTGCCTTGAACATGAATGATTTATGATCACATTCTAATATGTAGAGATAATATGTAGTATGTAAAAAAGATAAATATAACAGAGTACTGCAAAACATTTACTTCTTTTAAAAATAAAAGAGAGCTAATAAGATCATTGAAAATTTACATAGAAAAATTGCACTTCCCCCCTAAACATTGCCATGTTACTCATTTGGAACCCTAAGTAGTAATGATTTATTTAGAAATTATTATTTTCTTGTTTTTTTTTTTTCTTTGGAAAAGAGGAGAAAGATTAGAGTTAAAAACATAAATAATAGTATTGAAGTATACATTTTATATCCAGTCTTTTGATTTGAAATTTATGTTTTTTTCAATAAAAAAAGATCAATGCAGGGGATTAAAATTATTGAAACCAGGTAGTCTGATTTAGTTCTTGAATCTCTCTCTGTTCATTCTATGTCTTGGTCCTAAACAACAGTAGCTGTATATGTTAAAAGTTTCACAACATGAATAACATGATATGTGATACCCTAACCAACACTTTGCCAAGCCTACTTTGGCTCATTAAATGTGTTAGTTTAGATCTACTCTATCCATTGCCTTTGCAATGGTTTGAGTCTAAAAATTTTCCTGGTTAAAGTTTAAATAGTAATTTTACTTCAGTATGTGCTTTCTGATTTTTACAGCTCTTTCTTTTTGTCTGAAAACATTTTTAATAGTCTTCAGGATGTGAAATCTTTGCCTCCTTAAAAATGCAGCATAAGATAGATATTCTTTAAATTCAGAAGGATACACTTCCCAGCCATATCGTTATAAAGTCTTTAACACTGAGGTATATTTTGATATTCAGAATTGCCTTTTTTCTTTAGATTCTTTTCTTTTCATTACAAAACTACTCTGGGAAGAGGGTTTCTTTTTTTTTCCCCCTAAAAAAAAAAAAGCTACGCTTGACTGATAATGCATTGCTTTGGATGGTGAAACATTATGAAAGTTTAATTTTTAATTAAATCTGAAATACCAATTATAACTGAAAGAGATTTTAACTTGTTTCTTTTCAGACTGCCTGAAGTTACATTTAGAGGCTGAAATCACTGCACCTTAAAAACAAAAAAGATTGAGCTCTAGTGCATTCCTGTAAGTAAAAACTTCTTGTACCTTTCTCCTTGTTTCTGTGACCAGCAGCTAAAGGAAAAAAGCACTAGTAATAGTAACCAGACTTGGCTAACCATCTGAATATCCTTGCTTGAATTTATAAGTTTAAATTATTTCCTTTCTTTAAAAAAAAAAAAGTTTGTTGGGCTAAATTTTATTGTGTTTTTTTTTTCAATCAAACCTAAATTGTTGGTCTTTTCAGTTAGCTGATTTGAATTGCATTAGGAATGGTATATGTCTTTAGCACAGAGACATGTATTTCCTGTCATCCCATCATTGAAGATTCTTACATTTTGATAAGAAGATAATAGATGGTAGCAGATGTCTGATGACATCAAAGTAGAATCATTTTTCCTTTGTGATGTCATTAGAAATTGTTGTTATTAATGGCAAAGGAAATTGAGAGAAACAGAAAGTTCTTGATGACATCACAATAGAATTCAGCTATCTTGAGGACTTTGGGCAGAACTAAGCAAGATGCATAATTCCCTTGTGTGCGTGTGTTCCCCGTTCTGCTATGAAGCAGTCAAAATAGCACATCTTATGTCTTCCTGTGAGCTACAAGGCTGTCTCTCAGAGCCCCATTGTTCCATAAATGCATGTCAGAGTCTACCACAGTCTGGCCTACCCTTATTTAGCTGCTGTTTTGTCAATGTACTTGGAAGAACAATTAACATTTGGGATTTCAATGTCTGAATAACAGGCAGTGAATAGAACCCTAGCATATAAAAGATTCAGACGCCCAGGGTAAAAAAAAAAAAATAGAGCTTATAGCTGGTGGTGGATGGGAAGCATTTTAATTTTGCACCAAAAGGTTGTGAAATACTACAATGCAAAGTCAATCTGTTTGTTTTTTTTATTTAAGATCATAACGTACAATTTGATAATGAAATCCAGAGCTTATGACGTTCTCAAGTGGCATTTTTGTTTTTCAGTAGAAAGTGTTAAAATGTTTATAGTTACATGGCAATAGTGGTGGGGGTGATGGTGGTAATGGGAGAAATTATAGAGCTAGGGAACCTACCACAAAACCCTCTAGTCACTCTCTGCTGATTTTTTGTTGGTATGCTCCTAAAGAGTGCACAGTGGCTTTGAGAGTATCCTGTCCCTTTCTAGCAAAGAACAGCAAAGCTGATTCCATCCATTCCTTCTATTTTGACTGATTTTGTCATGCTTATGCCTTACTGGTAGATAGGACAGCTCATTGGATTGTGTGAACCTTCATATTGTGTATTGATTACATGCATTGAAGGATCTCTGAATTGATTAACCATGTCTGTTGTCTGAATTCTGGCTAATCCCAGTTTCCATGAGAAACAGAACAGGATCACCACCATCATGGCTTTTGGTTGAAGTTAAGGTAGTATACACCATTACCTTTACTCTGAGAATCAGTACCTTTGGAAGTAGAAAGTAGGTTTTGTACAACAGGGACTGAGAATGGAAAAACTGGTTGGTTAATATGGTTAATATGTGGCTAAATTTCAGGAAGAATAAGTAGGTTTGGAGAGAACTTTTCATTGGTAAATATCTTTGCATTCTCAGTCCCTCTCCACCCATGCTGACCAAGTACTCCCATAAATATTGTTTGCAATAGTCCTTGAAGCAGCTCTGACATGTAACTTGTATTTACCGAAGCTAACTTTAAATAGACGTTACCCTGTATCTCACTACACATCACGAGCCTGTCATTCAAAAGAAAACCTGTTTGATACCAGTATAGATAGTGTATTTTTAACCATCAGAGTTTGTTTGCAATGCCAGACTCAAAGGGAAGCTTCAGGGAAGTGGAGTAACCATGTGCATAGAGTGTGGCCAAGGGGAATTTGTGCAGTTTCTAACTTCAGCATAACTAGTTTTCACACAAATGAAAAGGCCACAGCATTCGTTGGAAATCAGAACAGTTTGACCTCTCCTAGGCTTTGTGTCCTTTGTTTTTATCACATATCATAGTTCCACATCTTCTACTCAATCAATCAATAAACTTTCATTGAGGCCTACTATGTGCCAGGTACTGTGCTAAGCTACTATTAGTTTGTTTCCAGTAGAGGCCTAGGAGCCACCTCTCACCTCTCCACCCTCACCACTACCACCTTTTACATTGAGAACTCCTGTTTATCCAAATTAAAATTATCATAAAACTCTGTCTTTAGGGCAAAACTGTGATTATAAGTTTTAATCTGGCACAAAAAGATCTGAGAACCTTAAAGAACTATTTCTATTTTAAACATGAGAAAACTTTATGGAAGTGATTTGTCCTAAACTGCTCTATGGCATAAAAGTAAAAGTGACTTTGGAGTCTGAGAGTTAGGTCTTTTCTAGATGTCTGATCTAAGTTACCAATCACATTGACCCCCGAATTGGTTATTTCTTTGAGGCCTGCTGAGCTCTAGGTGCTGAAACAAAAACATAGGTAAATGTTCAAATGATCACATGCAAAGGATTGTTTTTAGAATTGTGATTTCATAGATGTTCACCCCAAGCCCCATCCATCCATTACGATATTGTATATTCACTGGACCTACATATTACATGGAGGCAAATTTATTTTGTTGACTGATTACCCTTGTCAATGATGTATGAAATGGACAGAAGACCATTAGCAATTTCACTAGTTTAATTGGACTTGCAGGCATAATGAAACCAGTTACCAGAAGATAGCCAATGTGACAGAGAATTCAGGCTTCCAAAATGTGGGCATCATGCATGGTGAAAGGATGTCAGATCATTTCCATCACAGAAAACTTTTCCCGAGCTTTGAAAAAAAAGAGTTTGAAGAAGCTTTAATATTTCAAATCAAATTATTCCCCTACCAATTTTTGGGGGTTTGCCTTTAGTGACTTTTGCCATTTAGTCATATAAGTATTTTCATTAGGGAATGATGATGCTATTTTAATCTTGAAGATGTTACTTTCTTCCCAAAATTGATTTTCCATTATTTTTATACTCTTGAACAAACTTCATTCACTACATTCAGGAAGTTGGGGGTTGAGTCATTGTGGCAATAGGTGTGTGTGTGTGTACGTGTGTGTGTGTGTGAATGTATGTATGTACAGTGGTAACATACCGCTAAAGTCATAACATCTTCTCTATCTAGGGAAGATGGAGAAGTGAGCAGAAATGTGTATAATCAGAGAAGTTTCTGGTGCTATATATCAAATGAAAAAGAATCTTACATTCTGTTCCAAGGGAGCCTTTATCTGAATCGATATAGCCCTTCCCTGCCTAGATCTGGAGTAATATTACAGTTGCTTGTCGTTCAAGTCGTTTCAGTTGTGTCTGACTCTTTGTGACTCCATTTAGGGTTTTATCGGGAAAGACACTGGGGTGGTTTGCCATTTCCTTCTCCAGCTCATTTTACAGATGAGGAAACTGAGGGAAATAGAACTAAGTGACTTGCCCAGGGTCATACACAGCTAGTAAATGTCTGAAACCAGATTTGAACTTAGGTGTTCCTGACTCCAGGGCCAGCACTGTATTCACTGTGCCACCTACTGTGCAGTGTTACAGTGGGACATGAAAAACCAACAACAATAACAATAGTAAATGTACACACTGTTGTAGTATTATAGTATACAGCATCTTAGATCTAGAAATGGATGAGTCCTCAGAGGCCATCTAGTCTGGAATCCTTATTGTACAGATAAGGAAACTGAGGCTTACGGAGATTGAATGACTTGTGCCCAAGGGCACGCAGAGGCAGAATATGAACCCATGTCCTCTGAGTCTAGAGCCTGACTCTACTGTGCCAAACTGTCCCTACCATCTTGAGAGAATGGCAGCAGCCTCTTGGGTTAGTGGCAGAGACCTTTACTTTCTTGTATTTTAAAAGCTTTGTGGTAATGTGGTAATGTTGCTCTTAAAAGTCATTTCCACCTCACTTTACCATGACTGTTGGAAAGATATTGCCCTTGTAGCACCAATTTAGAACTCACCTTCGTTTTTGACTTGAAACGACAGGGTAGTAGTATTAAGTACAAGCATTGTTTACTTATATTGTTTTTTATGCAGAGGCAAGTTAAGTTCAATGTAGAAGGTTTGTGAGATCAAATTGTTTCATTTCAGTGTTAAAACTTACATTTTTGTATTTAACCATGTATACAGATTGTGTTTGAAAGTATCAGAAAGGGTTAACATTAAAGTGTGCAGCCCAAAGGACTTCTGGATTCTAGTATTTCTGAAATATTCTACCTGTTCTTAAGGTGCTTAGTATGTTACAGAAATATAAATCTCAATATTCTGGAAGCATTAGGAAAAGTTAAACTTAAGTTTGTATAAGATTTATTTTGGGAATTGATAGGAGTTTGGAAGATCTCATCAAAGTCCCGATAATTATAATAGAACAAGCATTAATTGATTTCTACATAAATATAAAGTCCCTACTTGTATTTATAGATCATAATATATGAGTACCCTTTGACACATGTATGTGTAAATACATAAGTTTTTATATGTAAATATACATATGTGTGTGTTCTCTTTTTGACTAAAGGTCAGTCAAGGTCGCAATATTGAAAAGTAAAAATAGTACATATATTCAGAACATCCATAGCTTTGTGTTAATACTTAATAAAGAAGATATTGTTTCTGAAATATATTTGAGTTGTTGTCATTTGAAGCCAGGAAGGGCCTGACTCTTTGGAACATACATTCCCTTTGCCCAAGCTAAAGTAGATCTCTGACAATCTTCCAAGAAAAGGTCAGATGAATTTTATTTCCCCTTAAGATAATAATTGTTGTAATTCCTTTGGTTGGTTAATGGATGTATTTGTATTTTAATATTTAGAACTTATTGTTTAAAATAGGGCTTGATTCTTTCTTTTTTCCCTAGAAAATTCTTTCTGTTGACTATACCATCTTCTGTAAAAAGTCTTTCCCAATTTCCTTTAATGCTAATATTTCCTCTCTATTAATTATTTCCATTTTCCTGTATATATATATCTTATTTTTAAGTTGTCATTTTCAAGTTGTCTCTCTTAACC